GCGGCGCAAACACAAATAATAACATACATGTTATAACAATGTCATGGCAGGCAGATTTCTTGCACTTTTTTTGGTAAATGTAGATGAATACATGCTAGTCAGTATGTCTATGTTGAATGAGCTTATAACAGTTAGCTTTCTTGCGAGAAAGTCTAAACAATTCAGTGGCATCGCTAGGGGGAGGCCAGAGGGGGCCATGCCCCCCCCCCCATATCATGCAGTGCTACCTCTTACACCCCCCAAATTGAAATTGAAGTCGGGAGCACAGTCTCCCTTCACAAGCTGCAGCTGCACTGTGAGCTCTCTGTTCCACCATTTTCCCACATGCTGCCAGAGGGGGCAGCTGGGAGGACTTCCTCCAGGATCATAGAGAGCAGCGCAGGGGAGAGACCGGGAGAGGAAGCTCAGCTCTGCACAGAGGCATCCAGGCAGCTGCAGCTAGGTGGGAGTCTGTGTGTGTGATTCAGTCTCTGTGTGTGTGTGTGTGTGGGGGGTCAGTCTGTGTGTATGGGGGTCAGTCTGTGTGTGTATGGGGTGTGTGGGGGTCAGTCTGTGTGTGTGTGGGGGATGTCTGTGGGTGTATGGGTGTGTGGGGGATGTCTGTGTGTGTATGGGTGTGTGGGGGGTCAATCTGTGAGTATATGGGTCATTCTGTGAGTGTATGGGTCAGTCTGTGTGTGTATGGGTGTGGGGTGGTCAGTCTGTGTGTGTATGGGTGTGGGGGGGTCAGTCTGTGAGTGTATGGGTCAGTCTATGTGTGGGGGGATCAGTCTGTGTGTATGGGTCAGTCTGTGTGTATGGGTCAGTCTGTGTGTGGGGGTCAGTGTGTGGGTGGGGGTTGAGTCTGTGTGTGTGGGGGTCAGTCTGTGTGTGTGGAGGTCAGTCTGTGTGTAAGGGGGTCAGTCTGTGTCTAAGGGGGTCAGTCTGTGTGTGTGGGGGGCTCAGTCTGTGCGTGGAGGTCGGGAGCTCAGTCTGTGTGTGTATGGCAGGGCTCGACAAATCCCAGGTGCCATAGCGACTAGAAATTTTGCCCTGGCACCTGGGATTTGTCATCCTTTTTCCTAAAGTGGGCGGCTTAGCAAACCATGGAGCCGGCTGCCCGTGGGAGCATGGAGGTGGCCGGCTCGGGGAACGTTCTCCAGCAGGGCGTTGTCCCAGGGACACTGCCAGACCAGTTGAAACTGGCTGCTTTGTCCCTCCTCAATCTCTCATCAGCCCTTGCTATTGTTTAACACCATGGCGATCCAACTGTATCAGTCTGTGTGTGTGGGGTGGGTCAGTCTTTGTGTGTGGGGGTCAGTCTTTGTGTGGGTGTGTATGGGTCAGTCTGTGTATGTATGGTCAGTCTGTGTATGTCGGGTAGCAGTCTCTGTGTGTGTGTGTATGGGTCAGTTTGTGTGGGCGGGCAGTCTGTGGGTTTGTATGGGTCAGTCTGTGTAAGTGCTAGAACTCCAAGAGAAATACCTCTCATTTCGTGACCTCCCCTGTACCAGATGGATAGGCAGCCTTCTCAACCACCACGGATCTGATTGTGCCACCCCTTCCCTGCAAGGTAAGATCAGGGAAAGGGGAATATTCTTTTTATTTAATATATAATATATATATATATATATATATATATATATAAATTAATAAAGTAAAACTTGCAAAGCTCTTCCCCATTCCAGTCTCTACACCCCCTGAACACAGTACACTCTCACAGATAGTGAACCCCCCACATACAGTACACTCCCATCAGCACAGAGTACTTCTTTGCATACACACACAGTGCACCCCGCACACATCATCTCTTCACCCACATACACATGTATGTACGTAGCGGGGAATGTGGTGCGATTAAGAGTAAGGAGACTACCCCAATTCAACCCCCAATAATGACAAACAACGAATATTGGATGAAACAGGCCACAGCATTTATTAAACTTACAACTGTAGGACTCATCCAAACTTTTTTCTTTTCCTTTAATTCAAATATAAATAAACAGATAAATATATATACATACCATAATTAACATATAAATTAACATATAAATTACACTTATTGCCCTACAGCCTCCAACTTAACCGTCCTTGCCAACCAACTTAACCAGGTGCCTATGCACCAAAACTTTACCCACTGGTGTCTCGCCTCCCCCCTCGTCCAAACCAAAAATTCCCATCATCTTAAATGCTCTACCACCAGCCGGCTTTTTGCTCGGTGGGCACGTCTTATTCGGTAACTTAAAAGTTTACCTTACAGAGCAGTGGAGGTTGAGACCCACCATGTCCATCTCCTGACATTCCATCTGCTCCCCAACCCTGTTGGCAAGGACACGCTCCCCGACACAAACCCCACTGTTTTAAACCTAAAATCAGTGGGGAGCCCCACCAAAACCAGCCAGGCCTGTTCCACTACTTTCTGCATGGCAAGACGAAAAAAGGTCTAGCCGGACCTTCATCACCCAGAAACACAGTAGCTGCCACATGCGCAACAACACCCTGTGGCAAACCAAAATCCCCTTACCTTCAAACACCTCGAAAGGCCCTTCAATTTTGCTTCATACGGCAGCGTACCATGCACTGATTATGGGCCCGCTGCCAAAAGATACGGGAAATGACCTCCGACCAATCGGGGTTATTTATTGATTCTTTTTTTTATTATTAATTTATTTTTTTATTTAAAATCATTTTATTTTTATTTATTTTTTTAGAATTGCTTTGTTATAACATACGACAAGTCCTGTATAACACATCCAGAACTTATTATAATAATCTCTATAATCATAATCTCTCTTCTTTTCTGAAACCAAAACGTTAAACATAAATAACCATAACTTAACATATATAATTTAACACACAGGCAGGCCAGGCTGGAGGGAAGCATATTGCTCCTGAAGGTGCCTGCCATCATCCAGGGCAGCAGCAGCTCTGAGGGCAGACAGGATTGAATCCACAGCCATCCCTCAAGCTGGAAAAGCATGCAGGCCCAGGGCAAACAGGAGCACAGAGGCAGAGAAGTTGTTTGCTGGCCAGAATCCCAAAAGGCACTGAGGTAAGATGATCCCTGCCCCACTACAAACCCATAACCACTCCCCTAAACACATATAGCCAATCACTAGCACCATCCCCACACTCATACATGTGCCCTTGTCCGTTTAGCTATGCTGACTCCCCAGGGCCTCTTCTTCCACACACACATGCATGGATGCACACATACATACATACATGCTTCACCCCATTATACACGGAATCGCATATATATATCTACAGCTCCTTGATAACCCCAATACACATATAATCACAATGCAGCCCCTAAATGCATACGCACACACTTTAAAGGCCCTCTCAGCACACACACACACAATCTGAAAAGCTCCTATATATGAGCACATGCTCACACTATATCTCCTAGTTACACATAGTACACCATAAACAAACTCCTCTATACACACTTTACCACAGCCCCTTTTAAACACCATGAATAATTATCTTGCATCTTCTGAAAAGGTTTTCCAGTTTCCATGAAAAAGGTGACTTGCCTGTAATAAGGAAGGCGCAGCAGTGGAACTACAGGGAGTGCTGGTGCTGCGGTTACACTGGGGCCCATCGAGTGGGCCATGCAATTAGGAATGGGCATGTGTCTTCAGTGGCCCAAAACAGTTCTTGCACCAGGGCCCACTCTACGTTAGTTCCACCACTGTGCAGCAGCTTCCCCGGCACACAAGCTCTGCCCCTGCAGGGAAGATCGCCTCCCCGTATGCAAGCTCTGTCCTTAATCTCTGACTGAGATACACACTGACAGACATACACACATTCTGACAGTCATACAGTGACAGGCACACACTCTCTGACTGAGACACACACTGAGACACATACACACACATTTTCTCACAAATTGCTATTTTTATTTAAATCCATCCAGCCTCCCTATCTTTGGGAGAGCTGAGTGGATCTTTCCCTGGAGTCCAGTGTGTCTCCTGTCAATTAGAGTTGAGCAGACACCTGGATGTTCAGGTTTGACCGAACTTTGAAAAAAAGTCTGGGTTCGGGCTCCAACTTGACCCCGAACTTGACCCCGAACCCCATTGAAGTCAATGGGGACCCGAACTTTTGGGCACAAAAATGCCTCTAAAAAACTCCTGGAAAGGGCTAGAGAGCTGCAAAAGGAAGTAAAATGGGGGTAAGAGTGCCCTGCAAACAAATGTGGATAGGGAAATCACCTAAAATAACATAAAATTAAAAATACAGCTGAGCCATAAAATAGCACTAGATCAGGGGTTCTCAACGTTAGTCCTCAGGACCCCCTACCAGTCTAGGGTTTAGGGATTACCTGGGTGTGTCTCAGGTGTTTAGAAAAAGAAAAAAAAAACACCTTAGAGTCTAAGGTGTTTTTTTCCCCTTTTTCTAAAACCCCTGCACTAGATGGAATCTTTGATTTTAGCTTTGGAAGAACATAAATCAAAATCTAAAGCATGGCTGTCAGGAGGATCACCAGAATTATCCATTTGAGAGAGGGTTGTAGTGCAGGGCATTCTCTTTCATTGTTCAAACTGAGCTCAACTCCTGATGCATGGAGAAAAGGCCTTCACAAGCCTCTGCTATTGTGTACATAGTTTATACTAAGTGACCCATAGGTTGAGGAGGCGGTGACCGTGGCGGTGTAGGTGGAAGCAGCGGTGGAGGAGGAGGATGAGGTAGCCAACACTGTCTTTTATGTTTTTTTTTTTTTTATTTGTGGTAGCCCACAAAATATTGGGACATACAAAAAAAGAAACATTTGCGGCCTGCGGTGCATTTCTTGCAGTCCTGATGCATGGAGAAATGCTCAACTCCTGATGCATGGAGAAAAGCCCTTCGCAAGCCTCTGCTAATGTGTACATAGTTTATACTAAGTGACCCATAGGTTGAGGAGGCGGTGACCATGGCGCTGTAGGTGGAAGCAGCAGTGGAGGAGGAGGAGGAGGATGAGGTAGCCAACACTGTTTTTTATATATATATTTTTTAATTGGGGTAGCCCCCAAAATATTGGGACATATAAAAAAAGACAACTCTGTTCTGCAGAGTAGCTGTTGACATTATAGTTGCGCAGACACTTTGTTGACTCCAGAGAACCTCGGGCCAGTTGCACATCCCCGTGACGGCGACTTTGCATTCGGATGTCATCCATATCAACTTTCGAGGCCAGTTTCTGCACCTACCATGGTGACCACGGGTAACGGGGAATCAGGGTTCCATTCTGTACAGGCATCCTGAGAAATGGCTGCCACATGCAAGGAAGGCAGCAGGCGCGCAAATGACCCACTCCCGACGCGGGAAGGTAGTGACAACAAATAACAATACAGGACTCTTTAGAGGCCCTGTAATTGTAATGAGTCCACTTGAAATCCTTTAACTCTGATCAATTGGAGGGAAGTCTGGTGCAGAGCCACTGACCCGTGCGTGCTGCAGCTGAAACTCCACTATCGCCTGCTGCTGCTCGCACAGTTTCATGAGGCGGTGAGCGGGAAGGCCCCAGAATTACAATATTGTTTAAGTACCTCTTAGCTATTGATAACTGGTTTAAAGATAGCAGCTTGTTATCTGGTAGTTTCTAGTGTAGAAAATATCAATCTGTTTTCTATCACTTAGATCTGTGTAACAAGTGTTGTACAATATTACAAGTGACCGATATTTAAAATCAATTTAAATCAAAGTTACGCTTCGATTTGACTCTCAGATATGAAGTGAACACCCCAAATATACTATTTAGCACCAAAAAATAAAAAATTTACTTTTTAAAACTCCAATGTAAGCAGCAGATTAGCAGCAAAACAATTAGAATGTTTACAGCTGCGCAGTAAGCACACTATTTGACACTTCTATTTGACTCTCAGAAATGAAGTGCACCGCAGGCCGAAAATGTACTATTTAGCAGATTAGCAGCAAAACAATTAGAATTTTTACAACCGCGCAGTAAGCGCACTATTAGACGCTTCTATTTAACTCTCCGATATGAATAGCAGGCCCCAAAATGTACTATTTAGCAGATTAGCACCCAGAAATTTTTAATTTTTACAACTGCGCTGTAAGCTCATTATTAGACGCTTCAATTTGATTCTCAGATATGAAGTGCACTGCAGACCGCAAATGTAATATTTAGCAGATTAGCACCCAGAAAATAAGAATGTTTACCACTGCGCTGTAAGCACACTATTAGACGCTTCTATTTAACTCTAAAATATGAAGAGCAGGCCACAAAATGTGCTATTTAGCAGATTAGCAGCAAAACAATTAGAATGTTTACAACTGCGCAGTAAGCGCACTATTTGACACTTCTATTTGACTCTCAGATATGAAGTGCACACCTCAAATATACTATTTAGCACCAAAAAAAAATAAATTACTTTTTAAAACTTCAATGTAAGCTGCAGATTAGCAGCAAAACAATTAGAATGTTTACCACTGCGCTGTAAGCACACTATTAGACGCTTCTATTTGACTCTCAGATATGAAGTGAACCCACTAAAATACTATTTAGCAGTTTAGCACCCAAAAAATGTAAGTTATAAAACTGCAATGTGACAGCAGAATTTGACGCTTCTATTTGACTCTCAGATATGAAGTGCACCCCACTAAAATACTATTTAGCAGCCTTGCACCCAAAAAAATTTAAGTTATAAAACTGCAATGTGACAGCAGAATTTGATGCTTCTATTTGACTCTCAGATATGAAGTGCACCCCACTAATGTACTATCCCACTAATGTACTATTTAGCACCAAAATAAAATTACTTTTTAAAACTCTGATGTAACCGCGGTATTTGAAGCTTCTATTTGACTCTCAGATATGAAGTGCATCCCACTAATGTACTAGTTTGCAGAATTATTTCCTAAGCTGTCCCTCACAGCTGCAGCATCCTCTCCCTACACTAATAAGAGCTCATGTGCGTGCAGCGCTACGTGACTCCAGCTTATATATAGAGGCTGGGTCACATGCTGCACTGGCCAATCACAGCTGCCCTGCAGCCTATGAAAACGCGTCATTAAATTGCCGAACACCGAACTCCAACCCGAACATACAGTGATATGTCCGTGTTCGGGTCCGGGGTCCAAAAAACATAATGTTCGGGTTCGCTCAACTCTACTCTCAATCTTCCTGCAAAATCTGCATGCCACTAAACAGCGCACGAGGGAGCAGAGAGGAACTGCAAGAAGGTTACTACTCCCTGCGTTGGCCGGCTTTAATGTTTCCTGCGTGGCTTAGCAAAGGGCTGACAAATGCCAGGCGCCAGGATGAAATGTCTTATCGACCTGGCGCCTGGAATTTGTCAAGCTCTGTGTATGTATGTGTGTGTGTATATATATACATATATATACACACACACACACACACACACACATATATATACACATTTTATAACTGCCTCCTTACTTTTGTCCCTGGCCCCCCATGTGCCCCCTAAATATGAATCCTGGAGATGCCACTGCTAAACATATGTCACAAAAGGAAAAACATAAACATTAAAACAGAAGAGTGGCATGCTTAGTCTAAATAACTGATTCCTCCCTGACATATATGCTAGTCTGGATGAAAGATAAGCAACAGGCTAAGGTGGGAGACTACCCCTGTTGGGTCATTAACCATGGAGGGAAACAGGCCTTGCAAACTGACAGTAGGATTAAATAAAATTATATGAGTATGCCTATGTAAGTGTGTGATCAATGATCAATTAATGTGAAGTAATGCCCGCCTGGGATCCCCTGAGTGGTCAAGGATGCTTGCCTTGCTTCTAAGGCCTAGTGGGCGATGGTGCATGAAGTAAGCTTATATATAACAGTAGATTTGCTGAGGTCTATAATGAACCCTAATGAGTGGGTTTCTTGAGTCCATGGGTTGGAAGCAGAAGGCACTTTGCCAGGTGTAGCTGCTCATATATGGCTTAAGGAGCAGCCGATGCCCCGTGAGTCCTCAGTATCGTCCCCTTGCAGTGAGTTATATATCAGTCTTGGTAGTCCGAGAGTATAGAGGGTTAATAGGCCTGGTGCAGAGTGGAAGTTCACTTGGTGTCCCATATCCAGGTCGTGGGCTGCTGCGAGTCCCGGAGGGCCGGTCCGACGCTGCCGCCGTTTTGGGCCTTGCGCCCCACTTTCTCCTCATTTGGCTCAGGTGAGCTGTGCTTCTCTGGGTCCCTTGCCGAGTTTCTGCTGGAGGGTGAGACGGTCCTGGGCCATCTGTCTTGGGCGCTCCCATGGCCTTGAAAGCTGAATCCGGGGTGCCGCTGCTTTCAGGTAGGTTCCATGAGTCTGCTCCCCAGTTGGCCCCCTTCCATTGCCGGCCTTTCATGGTAGTGAAGCCGGGGGGGTTTTCTGTGTCCTGCCGTTTGACCAACCATTTTTGGTTTTGTGGTATGGAATTAGGCAGGGTCTCCGGTTCCGGAGGTCGCACGCGGGCCTCAAGTTTCTCCCAGAAGGAGCTGAAGATTCTGTCGAGGCAGAGCTCCATTTCCCTCTTTGCACTGCATAGGGCTGCAGCGTGGGAGGCATCCGCCATTTTGTAGGCCTCATTAGAATTAGACTCAGGACTCCGTGGTCGTGTTGCTTTGACACTGCTTTGCAGGGGGATTGTGAGGGGACGGACCGGGATAACCCATGCCGGTCTGGGGGAGGGGACGAGGGCTCAGAATCAGGAAGCCAGCTGTTCGTAGCAGCAGGAGAGCGGCCTTCCATGCTTGTAGGCCTCACCAGAGTTTCAGGTGTGTATCGGTTAAAATGTCGCTTGGGTTGTGTCATATTGGTATCACCTTTTGCTTGGTGGCCTTTGTGTGCTAATTAATTGCTGTTTAGGTCACTGAAATATGCTTTTTCTGCCCCAGATGGCAGGAGCTGCTGAGGCTAGCTTCCTCTCAGCTCTGCAGTCAGGCCCTGCCGGGTATGCATTTTAATACATAGCTTGCTAATATTTGAACGCCTCCATGTCAGAAAAGACAGCCAAGGGAGATTCCTTATCATACACTGCGTAATTAACAACGTACAGTATGTCCTAGGAGGATTTTACAGCCCAAATGACCATCAACAGAATTTTTTGCACAAACTACTTACAAAGTTAGTGAACCACATTCTTCAATCTAAGCTACATATGACCCCAATTGATTCATCCTCAAGACATTCAGCATTTTAATCATAAAGCAAATCAATAACAAAATTAATAATGGACTAAGGACTATATGACACTTGGAGTACACTATCCCGCGAACAGAGTCTTCTCTTACTACTCCTCAGTCCATAAAACATATTCCAGAGACCATATTTTAATCTCAGGTCAGCTTCTATCCCATAGAACCCAGTGCTTAATGGGAGACATGGTCCGATTACACTCCACTTACAGGTAAATTCCCACATAGAGGGAAAACCCCATGGAAGCTCAATGATACACTACTCCATTACCCAACCTTCACTGCACAACTGACGAACATACAAACATACTTTGACACTAACAATTTCACAGGACATAACCCCGGTCTCTTTGGCTGGCACACAAACTTGTAATTAGAGGCCGGATGATAAGTAATGCTTCCCACCTGAAATAAAAAGCCCAACAGGAATACCTCACATTGCTCTATAACATTAGAGACACAACAAATGCCCATATTCTACATCCATCGGTCCAACACGACCGCACCATATAGTGGCATACACACAATCCATGGGGTCCCGGTGCAAAACTGATCCATGCCCCCCCGACAGACACACACAGACACATACACACAGACAGACACACGACACACATACATGCAAAGAAACATACATACATACAGACAGGCACACATACATACACATACACACAGACAGACACATACACACATACATACAGACACAGACAGACACAGACATAATGTTGAAGTCACCCTCCTGTTTCCGACCTTTTAGGTGCAGGAGGGTGACTTACCCTGGGGTCCAGTGGAGGCTCAGGCTGGTGGAAGTCTGACTCCATCTCCTTCCTCCCGTGCAGGTTCTCGTTGATAGCTGGGAGGAGTGACGGACAGTAATTTCCTCCCTGCTGTGATGTCATCACAGGTGGCCCAGTCACGCTGTTAAAGTGCCACAGCGCTGACCGGAGCCCCCTGGAAATTCATCTCTATTGGGTGACCCTAACAGCATGGGCCACCCGATGGGCTCCTTGAATGTGCGAACCCCTGCGGTTTACCACACGGGCCAGGTCCGCAACACCTGGTGGCAGGCACCCAGTTGCAGGGGTCCACAGGGCGGCCAGGCCCCCTGGAGTGACAAGCCCGGTCGCAGCTGCGACCCCTGCGCCCGCGGTATGTACGCCACTGGCACCATAGCT